CATTTATTTATTGTTCATTTATCAATTTAAAAAAACGTTTCGGTGTTTTCCACCATCATCAGTTTTAATGTGTAGCGTTGTTGCTACTTTACGCCCTGGCATGTATTTGGACTATTCTACGTAGTACACTTTATAAATGCATAGTTGTGACCTTCTTACGTCGAAAGGAACCGATTGAGCTCAAAAAATCCGCATGTAAAATTTTGATTTTTGACCGAAATTTTTCAAAGGATGGTGGTCGATTTTTTGAAAAAACTTAATTTTTCTCAAAATGTCTTAAATTTTACATCATTTTCAGCTCACGGACGCTAGGAATGCATCGAACTCATTGAAAAACATGGTAGAAGTTTCAGAACCGAAATAATGCACATTTTCGGCACATTTTAAGCGTTTTTTTGAGAGTTCACGATCTTTAACCGACGATTTATTTCTTATTATTGACTCAAACACTATAAATGCATATTTGTGACCTTCTTACGTCGAAAGGAATCGATTGAGCTCAAAAAACACGCATGTAAAATTTTGATTTTTGGGCGAAATTTTTCCAAGAGTGGAATCGATTTTTTTAAAAAATTAAAATTTTCTCAGTGGAATCAGTAATCATCAAAATAAGTAAAGCAAACAAGTATTTTGAGCACTTTCGTTCGTGTGGCTTTATAAGGTAAGTAATCCCTGCTGAGAGGGTCAGAAACCATATGGCAACTGCGCGTGGCCTTCACGAACTGCAATCCGAAGTCTGCCATCTTCAATGAGATTAAATGTTAAGTGTTGTCAAAACAAATACTTCAGTTGCCAAAACTTTCAAACATGGACGAAAATTCGAGCGCAAAAACAAAATTCCCCAAAAGTCACCAGATCCACAAACGCCGCCCTCAACCGGACACAGTTAGTGATCCAGATATGTCAAGTTAGCGACGTACGTCAAATGAAAAACTACGCGCTTAAGCGAGACAAAAGCAGCAATAAGAGGGAAGGATCCTCATCAAAGTCGCCACGTGGCCAAATAAGTAAACTAGGAATGACGTTTTAGCCTTGTTCCGGTGGTCGTTGCCATGCAACAAGTCAACCAACACAAACAACCACAGTTTTCGCGACATTATACCGACACTTAAAAACATTTGACACATATTTCAACTACATGTCATTGTGCTTTGTTTGTTTGTTTTGTTTTGTTCTACTCAGCTTTGCGAGCAAAAAGTGTGTAAGTGTTGTTTTATGTTATAGACTTAAAAACAACGGTTAAAATATGGGATGTCAAGAAGCTATTGCCAGTGAATCCGTGTTTTTTGCAGTTCACAATGGCGCGTAATGTTTAAATTTTGCACTGCGCCCTACGGTAGTTGAACTCGCGAATTGTGGGTATCCAAAACGCGATTTGGCAGGAAAACGAACGGCAAACTGCACGGAAAAAATGTCCCACTATAGCCAAGACACGTTGTTGGAGCCTATTAGAAGAAAAACATTTAGTTTGATGCTGTTCCGACAATGTTATACTACTTAAGTTTTGAAGAGCGCAATTTAAAAACTAACCACAAATACGCTGACATTTGCCACCACCAACATCGGGCAGGACGCATGCCAGGTGTCCGTTGTCATTTTTCATTTATTGTCAAACGAGAGTAGCAAAAAACCAACTCGACGTTTTGGTGAACGCAAAACAGCAATCAAGCGACACTAAATCGGGTCGCTTGGCAGGACCGATGATTACCAAGTGGCCTGCCAATCAATTTAAACGACGACGAAATGCGGAGGTTAAAGCACATACTGAACTAACCACTACCACTTACCGGCAGAGGGCAAAAACGATGGCCGACATCTCGAAATATGGCCGAGGGCGAAGCTGTTAAAGTGGCAGTAAGAGCCGACCGCCTGCACTTGGTGCCAAATTGCGCAAAAACGACGACGATGGGACAGGAAAGACGTAAACCGTAAAGGAAAATTAGCGCCCTCTTCTGTTTCATAGCGGCGAATCATGTCCCCCACGGATTGCTAGCTTTGACTTTACACAATGACCATCGAGATACTGTTTGATTGAGCACGCATTGTAAAAAAGTTACATTTAACTAACCGCTTTTTAACGCAGGTTTTAGAGAAGTGTGTTTTTCAAAATTTTAATAATATTTAGCTCAAAATGAAATTATGTGTCATAAGTGGGCCAGGGGCGGATCCAGCTTTAAATTCAGGGTTATGTAGAAAAAATACAGTCTTCTGTTGTCTATGAAATTAGAAAAGTTATCGTCGTTTTGTGCAAGGGTGGCGTAAGATTATTGCAAAATTTCATGTTTTCCG